GTAATAATCCCAGCACATGGGAGGCTGAGGCAGGAGGTTCATTGCAAGTTTGAGACCGTCCTGAGCTTAATTAAGGCCAGCCTGGACTGCATAATGAGACCCTGTCTAAAAAAGACCAGAAAAAAAAAATGCAAACAAATAACTAATCCTATATCTTTTCATTTCTGTCCATATCCAATGAGGCAGAAACTATATGTAGTTTTTCATCATGTGAAACTCCCAGTATTCAAGAAAGATTCAAATGCTTTTTAGTAGGGGCTGGTGAGATGGCTCAGTGGTCTAAAGCACCTACTTAGCAAAAGCTTAGCAAAGCACAGGGACCACGGTTCAATCCCCCAGCACCACATGCCGGCCGGCCCCACCCCCTGGTGGGCTGAGCTGGCCACACACACACACACACACACACACTAAATAAATAAAAATTTTAAAAAAATGCTTTTTAGTAGATACCTAGTAAGAAAACAAACAAACAAACAAAAAAATCCTAAACCCAGCAGAAATTTGCTACCAATGTATTGTATCCCTAAAATGGGCATGGTGGTGCATGCTTGTAATACTAGCATTTGGGAGGCTGAAGCAGGGGGATTGCCATGAGTTCAAGGCCAGCCTGGACTACAGAGTGAAACCCGGTCTCAAAAAAGCTCAGTGGAATAAGTGCTTCCCTGGCAAGCACAAGGGCCTGAGTTCGATCCCCGGTTCAAAAAAAAAAAGCAGTCATAGGGCTGGGGAGATAGCTCAGTAGAATAAGCACTTGCCTGGCAAATGCAAGGTCCTGAGCTCAATCCCTAGTACTGAAAAAAAAAAAAAAAAAAAGCAATCATATATTTTATACCCCTGAAATATGTAGTGATATATTTCTCTAAATTATCCTTTGTATAGAATTAAGACATTTATGTGGCTCCACTGTAGTACTTACCACACCTAATAATAATAATAATAATAGTGGTAGTGGCAATGATAGTAACAGTAATAATAGACAGTCTGTGAGTTCCTTCAGGGCAAGACCTTTGGATTTCCAGCATTTGCAAGTGTCTACCACTAATATTTCATATGCTTATATTTTACATACTTATTGAGTAATAAATTAAGAGAGCTAAACAAGGAAAGTAGCAGCGGTAGTCCCTTTGTGGTTCCAATTTAGCATGGAAGTACATGAGATATACACATTCAGAGACAACCAATCCCAGTTCACACTGAACTAGTGAATGTAGAGATATCAGGCGCCCATTCTGCACGCTAAAAG